CGATCCTAAGAAATCAGAAGGAAGTTCGATGCTTAAATTCAGGCGTTAGGGTGAAGCAAGCTGTGCAATCTCGTGCATTATAACCTCCTATGGCATAGATGGAGCTCCCTTTAGGCAACGTGGAGTTGTTTACAGCGCTGAGGCCAAATGTCGCGTCCAGTCGCCATGAAGACCATGCTCATTAGGGTCCACAAAAATGGTAGGTACTCACGGTCGCGAGGCTGTGGATGTGAAAACGTCAATATGAGGAATTCAGACTGAAAGTCTCTAAGTCTGTCTCCAGTTCGTCTAGCGAAGGTTCAATGTATCCGAAAGGTGGTTGTGAGCAGTCTACGTACTCCTGTTGGTGTTTTGATAGGGTTCGTCATGACCCACCAGGTCTGATGTTAGACCAGAACGATGACCGTAAAACGTGCACCAGTTCGGGTCGACACGATAACCAATTTATGGAATGAGAGTGAGGGTACAAAATCGTCTGTAGACGACTTCATGTCTTGTTTAAGAGACTTTGGTGTTGCAAACGGTTGATGCTCACCCACACCTGGCATAATGATTTGAGGACATTTCCTCCATCGTTTCCCTTATATCGCTGGGCGTGCGCCTGGTGAGTGATGTGTAGCAACAGATATTTGAGAAGGGGTGTAGCTTTCTAGCTTTCTAAAAGCGGCCTTGGACGATTTGTTGAGAGAAGCAACCGTACTGACCCCGACCATATGTGGTTGCCGTGAACACTATGCATTGGTGTATCGTTAGCTGGCTTCAAAGCCCCCTGTGTGATTCGACTGAGTGTAGTTTTTTGTCTTGGCCTAGCAGAGGATGCCTAACGCCGTCGGAATCGATCTTGGCACAACATATTCGTGTGTTAGTGTTTTCCAGCATGTTAAAGTGGAAATAATCGCCAACGACGAGGATAACAGAACGACACCGAGTTATGTAGCATTCACAGACAATGAGCGTTTGATTGGTGATGCAGCGTTGAGCCAAGTGGAGATTAACCCAACAAATACAGTGTTTGATGCGAAGCGGCTAATCGGTCGTCGGTTCGATGATTCATCAGTGCAGAGTGATATGAAGCACTGGCCATTCGAGGTGACTCCAGTCGGTGGAAGGCCGAAGATTTGTGTTACGTATAAGGGTGAGAAAAAGATGTTCGCCGCTGAGGAGATCTTGTCGATGGTGTTGGTGAAAATGAAGGAAGTAGCTGAAAGTTATTTGGGCAAGACGGTGAGTGACGCGGTTATAACAGCTCCTGCTTACTTCAGTGACAGTCAGCGTCAAGCAACGAAAGATGCAGGTGCTATAGCTGGTCTTAATTTGCTGAGAATCATTGACGAACCAACAGCTGCCTCAATTGCCTATGGTTTAGACAAGAAGGTTGGTGATGAGCGTAATGTGTTGATATTTGATTTGGGTGGAGGTACATTTGATGTGTCTCTGTTGACAATTGGGGATGGGATATTTGAGGTGAAGTCTACTGCTGTCGATACGCACTTGGGTGGTGAAGATTTCGACAATCGTATGGTGAGTCACTTGATACACGTCGTCTGAGAACGACGTGTGAACGTGCGAAGCGGACATTAAGTTCAAGCACCCAAACGAATGTGGGGATAGACTCATTGTACGATGGTATTGACTTTTACACAACGATTACTCGTGCACAATTTGGGGAATTGTGTTTCGATCTTTTCCAGGCTACATTGGAACCTGTTTCGAAGTCTCTAAAAGATGCTAAGGCCAATAAGGCTCAATTTCATGAAATAGTGTTGGTTGGTGGTTCCACTCGCATCCCTAAGGTGCAGAAGCTGTTGAACAAGTCTGTTAATCCGGATGAAGCAGTGGCTTATGGTGCAGCATTGCAGGCAGCTATTCTGAGTGGTGACAAGTCTGCGGCTGTGCAGGACTTGCTGTTACTTGACGTGGCTCCATTGTCACTGGGTCTTGAGACAGCTGGAAGTGTGATGATGGCTTTGATTAAGCGCAACACGATAATCCCAACGAAGCAGACTCAGACGTCCACGACTTACTCGGACAACCAGCCCGGTGTGCTTATCCAGGTGTTCGAGGGCGAACGCGCGCTGACAAAAGACAACAATTTGCTTGGCAGTTGAGCGGATTGGATCCTGTGCTGAGTGGTGCATGATTACACATAATTTCTGCCCACTCATTGTGGTGAGAATAGCCCAGCTTGGCCGAGTACTTGCGTTCCGTCGAACATTTGATGTCAAACCCACGGGAAGGTGTACGTCCCGGCTGACCTTGCAAGTTAATCGATCCTTGGCTTCCTATGGGGCTTTCAGGGCCTCGATCGATTGCTCTGTGAGTGAGGAAGTTGGAAACCAGTTGGTTGGAATGGCTGCTGGATCGCTCGGTAACCTGTGCAGGGTGCCAGCTCTAGCTGGGTTTACCCGCCTTGCTGCCCTCACCGTGTGGAAAATGGGATGTGGATTGGCTAGAAAGATTAAGCTGATTCATATGCACCCGTACATGTATGACCTTTCATGCGTATACCTATCGGATGTCCTGCCGACCTTTGTGAGAAATTAGACAGCATGTACATACCCTTTGGGCTAGATGGATCATGTTACGGTAGTCGTGTGAACCTGTGCGTTGAGCAAAAAGAAACAGACTTGCGTGTGTTGCACGAATGTTAGTCGACCCCAAACATACATTTTTACTTCCAAATGCTTAAATCTGAGTGTTCGAATCAACTAACCACTAGATGACAAGGCCAGTTAGAAAATTGTTTTACAATAAGAGTGATACTGAGATACTGAAAAAATTACCCACAAGTGCTCATAACTAAAATATGTTTTTAAGAAATAAACTGGTCATGTATTAGATATTTATTATTCGTGATAAGTTTAAGGACTCAAAGAGATCAGCAAAAGTTCTAGCATATTTAGAATGTAGTCTGAGTAGAGTTAAACATAATTCATGGACTGCCTTGTCTAACACCAGAAATATGACTGAAGTATTGATTTGCTTAACGATAGGGTAAATGTGTTTATTTTTGTTACTCTGAATTCCTAGTTATTTTAAAAAATTTCAAACTCCTGTTGGTTAGGTTGCAAAGCATTAAAGCATTCAGTTTCAACGTAAACATTTTCACAATGAGCCTAAAAACGAGAATCATAGGGTTTCTCGACTGAAAAGAACGCATTGACATGTATGAGAACTTACCCGGTGCTTGTTTAGCTGATACCTGGAAAAATGATATCTTTTGTTGAGCTTTAGATAAAATGGGAAATGACTCTGACAAACAAAAGTATTTGTCCATCAGAAAGTTAAATATTATTCTTACAGCTGATGATGTGGTATACACCTCTTTAGTCATAGTTTCCTACTTTTCTTTCAGTGTCATAAGAGCGATTATCATGGTGTTATAGAAGCAGCATCATGACCGTCAAAATGCTCCACGCTAATTTGTTAGACATACTTTCGAAGAGGTTCATGAAGTGAAGTTTGCCTAATGTTCATGCAACACAAAACTGTCATCTACTAACTTCAATGGCTGTAGGTCAGTCGGCATAAAACATTTTGCACAGACAATAAAATTCAATTTAATACCAATACTTATCGCATAAAAAAATCTCTACGGTATAAACAAATGTGACAGGCACACCCCTATCATCGTTCAAATAATCAGCAAACTAGAGCTTCAATAAAAAATTTGCTTAAGTCATGCTTTGTCAAGATTTTTTAGAGCTTAAGATTTTTATCCGATTCTCTTGTGAAGTTTGATGTTATTAGGAGTTCAACGACCAGAAACACTTCTATTGAAACTGAACCCAGCAAAGCAATCTGAAGCTTGAAAATCCGGAGACAAGAAGAATTTATATCAAAGTTTCTAAAGCAATAACTATTACACTAGCCGCGGCATATCAGTAATGATATACAGATGATCTGTAACTGAATTTTTCGCACAAAACATTACTACTTTGTTATCCAAGCAATATAAAAATGAAACTAAATTTAAAAATATTTAAAAAATAAATAAACGTTACTTTTCGTATAATATAACCCTTTTCACTGCGTCAGCAATAACTAGATCATACAGATCTGGGTGAACATACAGTACAGAGGAATTATTGTTAACTTTAGGTTTTAAACTAAAATAGGGAACTTATGTGATAATTAATTTGAGTAAGAATTACTTCTATGTTCTGAGAACTCTTTGAAGTAGGTAATTCGACGTTTATTTAACACTAGACTTTAATCTCGTCATTTTAGTGATTCCAAATAGCTGAAAGTTTTCAATCAAGCATTCAGAAAACTTGAAGAAATTTGCCTCTCAAACTTCTCATCAACCTAATATTCTATTTAGCAGACTCGTCATCCTTCACCCATGCATGTAAACGAAAGTGCTTTTCTGTTCCGAATCATCTTATTTACTTATCACTTAACATCATCTTAAGTGAATATAGATTGTTGAAGTGATACCATACTAAATGCAAAAAAAATATAGTTAAAGTGACTTCATTGCTTATTGACTCAATCATTATTTTCGTACACGAACCGGCTTTTTCAGTTAGATCAAAAGTTTAAAACTTGGATGCTGATATCTCATGCAGTTGTTCGGTTACTTCATTCTGGGGAAAAAACAAAATATCTCCAGACCTTTATTGTTTAAGTAGATTGAGTGGTAAGAAAATAAGAATTTCGCGAAGCTAACATTCAAGAGAATTACACAGCTACATAATAAACGTTCCACATGAATATATCTTTTTCATGAATAGATTATATAGACTAATTGTTTGGTCTGGAGAATAAAACATAAGACAATAAATCGTGGCAAAGACGGAAGAGTTTTTAGTTCTGATTAACTGTTAAATAATATAGTTTTAGATAAAGTAAGCGAGCTAACATTCATCAGTAACAAACTACATAACAACTTTCAAAAACGTAATAGACATTAAGAATAATCCACTTTGACAGACTACAATTCTCTCTTAAATTTACAGTATACATTGTTAAAACAAAAACTAAAGACTGAAACTAACGTTGATAGCAAGTGTCTTTTGCAATAAAGAATCCTTATCAGACATCATAAAATTAAGCACGATATAGCAACAAAGTTCAGTTTGTCACACATATGAGGTCAAATCACGTAAATTTAACTCTATCGAATAAAACAACGCAGGTACAGAAAATTAGCGTCTTTTTTACCTAACATCCAATATTTTTTCCACCAGCTAGTAGACAACAACTGACTTCTTTCTGTTCGGTTCTTGTTTTTCCGGCACGGTTCCAGGAGTTTATTAGTGTCCAGTTGTTGAAGGTATAGCCACCCGACTGTACTAATTTTAGTCAGTTGACAGTTGTTTGTGAGTTCGCACGTCCCATGATTTGAATGAATACGTTTGTTTCAGAGCAATGGCTTTTTTGGATACCATCAGTTATTACGTTACCAGGCCGGAAATCAATTGATTGCAATGCAGATAATAATGAGAAAATTATAGTGCTATTCAAGAGATTTTAGGACTAAGTAAACCGATAGATTATTTACTTTACTAATTTGTAGTGAAGATTGTGAGAGGGGGGAAACGGAGATATTAAGCTAGACACATCCGTTTTGGTTATCTGAAGAGATGGCAACAATTTCATCTAGCATGTTTCAAGACATGCATCAGGCACAGCTGTTCCGAGAGGGAGCTGATAATCCGTACGTGAGTACGTATTTTAGCGCCTTTTCATAAGGCTGTTCACTCATAGGGCTGTGGTCACATAGACTGGGAGAGCATTCCAAGTTGCAACGACTCTTAATGAGATGCGCAGTTTTTCGAGAATTAACTCGATGGGGATGTAGTGGTGATGCATCGGCAAGATGCTCAGGTTCTGCCGTTTTCGTAGGCTTATATGTAGAACGCAGAGGACTTTTGCACACTGTCGAAAGATTATAGTGCGAATATTGCCACATTATGGTGGAGAAAATCTGTAGCGGGTGGATGATTGTGGTAGAATTTCGTCCTCTCACCTGGGTGTTATGGTTATGGTGCGCTGCTGCATCTCTGCAGCAACAGCCATCGTCGCATTTTCAGATAAGTTGTTCAAATCCGGGTTGCCGTTTCTGTGAAAACAGTCTTCTGCGGATCTTTAGCCGGCGCAGGGCGTTAAATCATGGAGACCATTATCTTGGTGTCTTGTGCAGGTGGTCGTTGATCAAGGTGAACTTCCATTTGCGTGCTCCTATTTCTGCCTCCATGTTTTTGTCTCACAGATCTCAGGTTGGCTTTCGTTACACTTTAGATGACTGAAGAGATGGTTATTCCAGCCGTACCAAGCCTGAAGCGCCTCAGACAGATCTTCGTGATTTCTGAAGTCCACAGTCATCAGACGTGGTGAATTGATGTTCATGAAATCAGTCAGTCAGTCAGTCAGTCAGTTGCAACGTAGAACTTCGTACGTAAGTACATCAGTTCATGTCGCCATACCACATCAGCACAGAGAAGTAATCGTCAATTCAAATCCAATAGTAGAAGAGGTATTAAAGGTATTAGAAGTAATCAGAGAGGTTAGGGTTAGAAGATACTATTCAAGAAGTATGATTCAGTGAGAAAAGTTTAGAGAGTCGAAACTACAGGGGTTGAAGAATCCAGAAGATTAGCATTTGAGAGAACACAAAGAATAAATGCACCGGCGCCATTTCAAACGATTTTGACCCATGTCATTCAAAGTCTCTAGCCATCGATCATTATCATCTCGCGGACCCCCACCAGGTAGTCGACAATTACCGACATGGCTAAGTCCACTGGTCAACCTATTCCCACACTACAAAACAAAGCTCGACGAGGCAGTCGCTAGTAAGCATACGCAAGACATGTCCCAACCACCTCAACTGATGAAGTTTCAACACTTATTCGATTGATCTGCTATTCTGACCTAGTACCCGTTTCCTAATAACAGCGTTGCTCACTCGGGTGTCCCACGATATACGAGCAATGCTTCGAAGACATCTATCATCGAAAACCAAAAACCGACGAGTATCTTCTACTCTTATTGGCCATGTTTCACAGCCATAAAGTAAGACGGAGCGAACCACTGCGCAGTACACTCGTCCTTTAGTCAGCAAACGAATATCTCGCCTACGCCATAAGTGACGCAGGTTGGCAAAAGCCAATCGAGCCTTCTGTATCCGTGCTGAGATTTCGTCAGTCACCAGGCCATCGGCACTGATGAGACTCCCAAGATAAGCGAAGCGGTCTACACGCTGGACTACTTCACTCCCTATCACTAGTTCAGGTGCCAATGCAACCCAGTCTTGAAGCAACATTTTGCATTTCGAGGGGGAAAACCGCATCCCGAACATGCTTGCATTGTTGCTTATGGTAGTCAGAAGACTCTGCATTTTGTCAGTATCTTCACCAAGTAGGACAATGTCATCGGCATATTCTAAGTCAATAAGCGAGCCACCTGGTAAAAGGTCTACTCCAGAAAATTCAGACGAGGATAATGTTATTTCTAGGAGCATGTGTGTGATAAAATTAAACAAGAATGGAGAGATTGGACATCCCTGGCTGACACCACTTGATGTAGAGAATTCCGGTGACAGTTCGCCATAAGCCCTCACTCGACCAGTGGTGTTCGAGTAAAGAGCTTGTATAAGGTTAATGTACTTCTTTGGTACACCTTTCAATGACAGACACTGCCACAGAACCTTACGATCAACAGAGTCAAATGCCGCTTTTAGGTCTAGGAAAACAACTATTGTAGGACGCCTAAATGTGTGTCTATGTTCCAGGACCTGTCGTAGTGTGAAAATGTGGTCTATACAGCCACGTCCAGGTCGAAAACCAGCCTGGTTTACTCGAGTCTGCTCTTCACGAGCTTTCGTTAAGCGTCGAAGTATTACTGAGGCCAATATTTTAGATACTATATTAGTTCGACTTATTCCTCTGTGATTGTCACAAGAAGACTTTTGTCCTTTCTTATAGATTGGGACAATCAAGGATTGAGACCAGTCGGATGGGATTGCGTCCAGTTCCCAGATTCTACCTAAGATCTCAGTCAACCTAGCTGCTAAAACTGGACCACCATCCTTAAATATCTCAGGGGTCAGTCTATCAGGACCTGCAGCTCGTCCTCGTTTCAGATTTCCTAACGCTTTCTCAACTTCATTAAGACTAGGGGGACTTAGGTCGATTTGCCATTTAGGATGACTGGAGATCGTGGGTAACCGAAGAGTGGCTCGTGGCCAGTTGAACTGATCCCTAAAGTGTTCTGCCCATCGATCCAGTCTCCTGGATTGAGAATGGATAATAAGACCATCCTTTTCCGAAATAGTCTCACTTACATTCGGGTTCTTAATACCAGTTTCTTTAATAGGGCGGAAAAGTTGTCTACTGTTGCCGATCGCCGCTGCCTTTTCCATCGCTTTTGCTTTCGCCACCCACCACTGTTCACGGTCGTTACGAAGACGTTTTACAAGTCTGCACCTAAGCTGACTACGCTCTTCATCATGTTCAGAGTCAGGTGGGATGCGTTTTCGAGCATCCATCAGTTCGGTGGATGCGACTGAAATCCACTGCTTCATCCTAGCCTTATGGTTTACCTTGCTAGCAGATATCACTGCTGTTTCCACAGCCTTTTTGATATCATTCCATCCTGCTTCCGGATGTGAATTGCTTCAATGGTCGCCTAACTGTCTTACAAGTTGTTCCTGAAATATATTTTTCGCCTTATAATTATTAAGTAAAACCCTAAGAGGCTTCCTTACGGTGACTTTCCTACGTCCAGTAAGCTTCAAACAAATACGTGCTCGCACTAGGGCATGATCTGAATCTAGACATGTGCCCCAGAACGAGCGACAGTCCTCTATCGAACCCCTCCATCGGTGGCTGATGGCGATATGATCTAGTTGTGTCCAACGTTGAGACGACTTTGGGGGTCGCCAGGTCAAATGTGTTTTTCCTTATGCCTAAAGCTAGTGTTTGCTAGGAATAGGCGGTTGTCTGAGCATGCCTGCAACAGACGGTCACCATTGTCTGTTCTCTGAGCCGCGACACCATAACATCCACCTAGGTGTTTCGCCTGCTCACTTAGTCTACTAACTTGAGCATTAAAGTCACCAGCCATTATTATTATATCAGAGCGCCTAGCTTTTTGGAGGAGGTGCGAAAGCTTTCTGTAAAACTCATCCTTAACCTCGTCTGAACTGCAGTCAGTGGGGGCGTAGGCTGATATGACGAAGAGGCAACGGCGAGTGTCCCTATCTTCCCGAGTCCTTACTGTCCCGCTGCGTCGGACGGCGCACAAGCGACTATCTACAGGGATCCAGTCAAGGAGAGATTGTTCTGCCCTACGACTCAATGCTATACCTACACCGGCGAGGCCCCTAGAAGCACATCAGGGCTACCGGATACACGAAGGGTAAATCGAGCTGCTTCTTTATCTTGAAATGGTGAGGTCAAATGAGTGATGCTACTCGGATCCTGTATGCGCGTTTCCGAGACGCAGCATATATCGATGGAACGAGATTCTAAAGTCCTAGCTAATGATGCCTGTTGCCCTATTTGACACAATGTCCGTACATTGAATGCTCCAACATGTAGTTTGGAACGGGGTTTAAGGAGACCAGGAACGACGTTTCGCGAACTCATATCGTCTGCATTAGCTGTGCACTGTGATGAATGAATGTGAGAAGAGTTAGTCGTGGAGATAAGAGAGGTACTAGGGAATGTAGAAAGGATTTGATTTTGAACAATTTGGTCTCGTGTGCTGTTGCGGGTATGAGGGCGGTTATCACTTCCCGGCTGCCCACACCGTGGAAGGTTGTTTCTTGACGAACCTGAAAAGGAAGATGGATTAGTGTTGGTGCGTGACCGCAGGGTCCAAGGGACAACTGCTTGAGGCCGGTCACGCACGGCCTTTTTATGAGACGTTGTTTGAGGATTAGCTCCGTTCTTAAGGGCCCTTAGTGGGCACCCTTACCTAAGGAGACGGAAATCCGTGAGGTAGGGGAGGTGTGACATTTTTAGGGTCGAGCTTTTCTAACCCTTCCTTCCTTGTGAGAAGGCAGCACCGCTGCAGATGCTGGTTGTCCAAGGGAAACACCTTACTGCTGTCACACCCCTCTGCAGTCAGCAG